ATGGCACGGCAAAAAGTATCAGAACAAACAATTGCTAATTGTTTTCGACATGCTGGGTTTCTCCAGTGTGAGGAAAAATTTGAACCAGGGGTGGGATTTTGTTTCTACCGATACGAAGCGATAAATGACAAGGACGAAAATATAAATTTCAGATGCGAAAGAAAAAGACACATTTTATCGGTACCGATATTTTATCGTTATAGAAACAAAATCCCACCCCAGAAGACGAACTACTATTGGCTGAATGGCTGAGAAAGCACGAAAGCAATTCTGACGATGAATTTGATATCGATTTCGAAGAATACGTCCATTTTGGCGATATTTTAGTGAAGTCTGAAATTTTGGATGATGCTGCTATTGTAGAATTAGTTCAATGCAACATTCAAACGGAAGATGAGACTGAAGACAATGATGATAACGAAGAAGAAGAAGAAAAAGAGGGAACGATCCCAAAACCCTCCTAAATTAATCTTTCTCACAAGAAGCAACGTAAAATTTGAGATTATTTTAAGTAACAACTTTTACTTTTAATCAACTTTTTATTAATCAAGTTTTTTTTCTTATATGTACTACTGTATTATTATCTCTACATGGTTATATTTTTGTAATACTTTTAAATGTTGCATACTGAAATACATAGTTCAGTTTATGAAAGTATGTATTGATTTTTTTGAGATCATTTATAACAAACTTCGGATATAACGAACTACTTTTCCCAGTCCCACGAGGTTCGTTATAACCGAACATTACTGTATTTTCAAATGTGGGCAAGTGTCTTGTGTAAAGGTCCGGGAGGCAATTCAGAGTTTAAAAAATACAAATTCATGTGATATCTTTCATTTTAATTACGAAATACTTTAATCTATTGAAAACATTATTATAAGTCCTTTGGCTAAACTAATTATTTCATGTATTGTAAATTTAGTGTTTCCTGACTGGTTGAAAACAGTTGCTGTGATACTTATATACAAAAAAAAAAAGAACGATCCTTCCAATTACCGACCTATTGCGCATCTCCCTATATTTGGAAAAATGTTGGAAAGAATACTGCACAATCAACTTTACAATCATTTTAAGAGCAATAAATATTTTGTGTAAGTCAGTATGGTTTTAGAAAAACCCGTCCACGACTAGAGCAGTCCAGGACCTAATTAAATTCTTAACATCATGCTTTGAAGAAGAACAAAGTGTCATAGTTTCATTTTTGGGCTTGTCTAAAGCATTTGACTGTGTTTGACATACTATCGTGTTAAACAAAATGAGCGCATACTGTCGGTAGAAAGAGGTGTGCCTCAAGGTTCCATCCTCGGTCCACTGGTATTTCTAATGTTCATAAATGATTTACCGAATCGAACTCGATTGATACAACCTTAATGGATAAAGCAGTCTATTTACCAAATGTCGATTTTTGAGTAAAAACAAAAACACATATTCGTAGGCTTGGGACTGGTTTCATAGGAATGAATTATGTTTATATTTTGATAAATCTGTAAATATGCTCTTTACCTTAAAATATGTAGATATTAGTAATTATGACGACTCAGTAAAATTTCTAGAAGTTGAATTGGGGTATTCACGGCGAAATGGTTGCTAGCAAAATGCCAAAAAGAAATTCCTTTTACGAAACCTAAAATATCGAGTACCACTTAAAATACTCGTATTGCGGATGGCGTATTTTGCATTTTGTGAATCACATATTTCGTATGGGAGTCAGATATGCGGACATTCTGTGATAAGACGTCGTATTTTTGGTTTGCAACGTAGAGCAATCGAGATAATTGCTGGGCTCAAATATAGGGAGAATTGCAAAATGGCTTACACTGAACTTAGTATATTCACATTTCCATGTTTATATATTTTCAATTGTCTTTTGGATGTTAGGAAAAATGTGGCAGCTTATAAATATCATGGCGACGTACACAATCATAATACTCGCCAGAAGGATCTTCTTTACACGAAAAGATTAAGAGTAAGTAAATCGAGAACAGCACTTGACTATTATGGTATAATGCGGGTCATTTCCTGATCAGTAGTGGGTCTAATAAATAATGAAAATAATAAGACTAAAATTACTTTTGAACAATGTAGTCAAAAGGAAAGAACTGAATGAAATCCATAAATACATTCTGCATTTCATTGTTAACATATTCTTTTGTAATATTGGAATGGTCAAAAGAAGACATTATCCGAAATCATAAATTGAGAGATTCTCATCACCCAGACCGAACGGAGGAAGGTGATTCCAGAACTTAGAAAATTTATACAAGAGACAAGTTTCAGCATCATTGAAGAAATATCTCCTGAGACAAGCAGAAAGAAACGAACTATGTGCGGCTAGCAAGGGCAGACTACTACAAATGCTTAAATCTATCTAGTTCCGAAGAAATTCACACATCACACAAATTATACAACATAATATGTGGGCTGAAGCAAAGCTCAAAGACCTAGACGAAACTCACATCGACAAGAAAATATCATTGATTTACCAAGTAATAATTAAGAGCATTCACAAAGACTTAGTAACAAATCTGAACTTAATTAAAGATGCAACTTACCTACAGGGTTTCTATAATTGATTATAGATTCGCCGTAAACGTGCCGCTTCTCAGATTTGAACTGCACTAAATGCCCAAGGACGCATCACAAAGACCACACGCATTTGTTGCTTAAATGCTTCATATATATTTAAAAAATAAAACTATTACATTACAAAGTAACAAATTTAAAAATGTTCTGTAATACTTTCGTCAATGGCCATTGTTCAATTTCATGCCGCAACACGAACTCCTGACTGCTCAGGAAGTGTTGTCAAAGATGTTTGCGGATTCTGCTCAAGTCGTCTCAAGTCATCAACACCTTCCTCAGATACTGAAGATCTTCCACGAGATTTCTCTTTGTTAACACTGCCAGTTTGAACAAATCTATTGATTACATCTGTAATGTAAACCTCTAACGATGTTCCTTGAATTATTATTAAAACACGGTATTTGGCCAGTTATACTTGCTTACAAGCGGTTACCGTGTATTCGAAGTGCCATTGCGATAACAAGACATAACAGTGAACATTTCTTGTTCAATATAACAGCCACTAGGAGTTTTGAAAATCACTGTTTTGTTGTTTTGAGCTTGGAACAACGAGAATTACTGTAATTCACACTTGAAAGACGTTAAAACAATAAAAACGACAACTTTAAATGACGTTATTGACAAGCGAGAACGGTCATAATCAGGCATAATTTCAGCGAAGCGGGATTTTTGAAATCCATAGCCAACTACGCCCTTAGAATAATTTATAAAAGCCCTGTATTACACTTGTTTCATTCCTTGAAAACATCGAATACAAGCTATACGGATATCGCACAATACTTACAGGCTTGAAAATTATAGCCAACATTTTATAAAGAAGCATACGAATGAAGCCAACATAATAAATATGTATATATACAGTGGCGGCCAAAACAAAGTAGGACACTTCTCTTTTCCTAATGTTACATTCAAATCTGTATTGACATTTAAATGTCATTGACTCACTGCTAAAACTAAATTTTTTGAAAACATTCTTTCAAGGGGTGTTCTACTTTATTTTGGCACCCACTGAAGCCACTGTATGTCAGATCAAAATTTCAAAATATCCGCAATTATCGACAGAAATGAAGGGAATACTAAATCTTCAGAAAATTGGAATTCTACATTTACTTGTCTCCAATTTAATTATAGTACTAAATAGTTAGTTGAGAATTTCAAATCTTTACACTTAAATGATTCAGCAATTGTCAAAATACAAAGAGCTGTTTTATTCTGAACATGTCATCTTATTCCTAAGTGTCTCGAACAGTCTCCTTGTGTCAGTAACCGCATGTTAGCACCAGTAAGTCAGAGTAGTGTAGGTAACTTTTCAAGTGATGCGCGGATAAATGATCGGTAGCTACGCTAAGCTCTTGGGGATGACGTAAGTACAAATAGCACTAAAACGGCAGCTCATATAGGTATTTTTCATATTTTATCATCGATTTAGCAGATTCTGTAAATTTTAAATATTAATTCGTTCTGGAAATAGTTAGAATTAATTGGATTTTCAGCTGTCTGAAACTTGTAATAATAATTGTTTGTGGATCAAGGCTGTAAAAAGAACTTTTTTGTCCGTGTTTCTGTTTAAACAATGGTGTTTAAATCCTAAATTTAAACAATAATTTTTAAAATTTAAATTTCCTCGTTACGTCACCAATAAGAAGGTCAAGACCAACGACGCGAATGTAGAACGCTGAAACATGGAATTGCAAGCACCAGAACTACGAAACGCTGACCACCGCACAAGCACCATCGTCAGCGTTAAGAAGGTAGCGGTAATGAAACAAAAGGACATGCAAGAAACTGGATCGCAATACAATTTCAAATCTCTCATTACCTTTAGTTTAGAACCACTCACACGCTGTAAATAGTTAGTTTTGTATAAATAAGTTAGGTTGTTTTGAATAAAATTAGTATTAAGCTTTATTGGCTTTTTACTCACTCCCACAATTCTACCCCAGAATTGTTCATGGTCCTTCGAGCCATTACTGAACCAGGTGCCACCTTCCAAGTCCAAAAACTAGGGCTGTGAGACTGCAGTCCAGTGGCACCTTCCTTAACACAGGCACCATTTCCAAGTCTACAATTTTCGGACCGTGAGACTGCGGTTCGGTGGTGTCTATTCCTTTTTACCCAGTGCCACCTTCCAAGTCTACAAACTCGGGCTGTGAGACTGCAGTCCAGTGGCACTACTCCTTTTTTTACTAGAACACCATTTCCAAGTCTACAATTTTCGGGCCGTGAGACTGCGGTTCGGTGGTGTTCATCCCCTAATCCGGTACCATTTCCAAGTCTACAATTTCGGGCTGTGAGACTGCAGTCCGGTGGTACCATCCTTACACAAGCACCACTTCCGAGAGAAATTTCGGTCGGCGGTGCCCTTTATCTCCAGCACGCCTTCGCAAAATTAAGGATGCAAGAAAAAATTCGTCATGGAAGAATTCAACAAGAAAGCCAAAGAGCAAGAGGATTTGGGGAAGAAAATTCAAACTCTCCTAACCAACGCGAGGAAAGACCCCGCAAAAAGAAAAACCCAGAATTGGCGATCCAAAAGAGCAGAGCAACTCGAAGAATTTTGGAATGAGATTCAGCGAAACCATGAAGAATTGAAGGTAGTAGGGCCCACCCTCAGAACTACCCACAATTATTTCTAAGTGAAGTATTTTGATCAGCTAAAAGCGTTGCACGAAGATGCGAAGAAATACCTCGAATCAGTACAGACGTCGCCCGACGTCGACCCGGAACAAGAAGCCCGCATCCGACGTCAATTATTCAGACTACAGAAAATCTCCACCGAGCTGACCAAACTAAACAGCGATTTAGATCAGGACTACAGCCGAGCCAGGTATGAATTTCTCGCCGAAAAAATCCAAGATCATTGGAGAAGCATCATGGAACTGCATGAAGAAATCTACGTCCATGAAAGGGAATTCGAAGACAAATATTTCGCCGACGAAATGTACGAGAAGACTGAAGAAAAGTACGAGGTTGTGGTCGAAAAACTGAAAGGAAAAATCCAGTCCCCGTCCGCCCATCAACAGGAGAAACCAAACATCCAATTACCCCAAATTAAGCTTCCAACGTTTAGCGGGAATTATGAAGATTGGCCCATTTTTCACGATCTATTCAGCAAAGTCATTCACAAAAATACATCGCTCTCCAACATTGAAAAGATGCAGTATCTGAAGACGTACATCAGAGATGAGCCCAGCAGAATCATTCAACATCTCCAGATAACAGAAAATAATTACCAAACTGCATGGGAGCTGCTGGCAAAAAGATTTAGCAACGTAAGGCTTACCGTAAGTAAGTTGTTAGACAAAATTTTGGATCAGCCAAGGATGCAAGAAGAATCAGCAGAAAAGCTGAAAAAATTACATGACACGACAAAAGAATGTCTAGAAGCATTAAACAATTTAGACATTCAGACCGACACGTGGGGACCAATACTCATCAAAATAGTATCTCAAAAATGGGACACAGAAACAAATAGACTGTATGAACAGTCATTGAATAACCCTCACGATATGCAAGAATTCGAGAAGATGATGGAGTTCCTGCAAACAAGATTTCTATCTCTCGAGATAATTACGGCAAACAAGAAAGAAGATGCGGAGTTTAACAAAGTGGAAACAATTTCCAACTTAAAATCATGCAGATATTGCCAAGATTCTCATTCAATTTATGAATGTCCTGAGTTCCAAGCTGAATCGCCAGAAGACAGATGGAGATTCATAAACAACGAACAGCTGTGTACAAACTGCCTAAGCCACGATGCAGGCAAACAATGCTTCAGCACAGCATCATGCCACAAATGCAAAAGAAGGCACCATACATTATTACACAACGACCGAAGAAGCAACCCAAAGGTCAACCAGCAAAAAACATTCAACTCAACAAACAAACAAACTCCAAACTCTGGAGAGAACTCAACGAAGAAAATTCAAAGCCATGTAGGCATTGAAAACAAACAGGTACTTCTGACCACAGCGCTAATAAGAGTACGAACAGCAAATGGGACCTACGAATACCTACGAGCCCTTATTGACCCGGGATCACAGGCATCGCTCATAACAGAAGAGGCTGCAACACTCTTGTCGCTACCCAGAGAGCGCATTCAAGCTGATATAACTGGACTTGGAGGAGAAATACCGAACAAATCAAACTCCAAAATTAGAGTCGAGTGCGCTCCACGATTTTCGAGTGATTTCACACTCACAACAGACCTACTGGTACTACCAAAAATTACAGAATCTCTACCAGAAGAAGACATCGAAACAGATCTTCGGATGTGGCAGAATCATATCATCGCGGATCCAGTCTTCCAAGATAAGTGCCCGATTGATATATTGCTGGGCGCGGGTGAATGCCGCAACATTTTTAATTTTTAAAATTTAAATTTCCTCGTTACGTCACCAATAAGAAGGTCAAGACCAACGACGCGAATGTAGAACGCTGAAACATGGAATTGCAAGCACCAGAACTACGAAACGCTGACCACCGCACAAGCACCATCGTCAGCGTTAAGAAGGCAGCGGTAATGAAACAAAAGGACATGCAAGAAACTGGATCGCAATACAATTTCAAATCTCTCATTACCTTTAGTTTAGAACCACTCACACGCTGTAAATAGTTAGTTTTGTATAAATAAGTTAGGTTGTTTTGAATAAAATTAGTATTAAGCTTTATTGGCTTTTTACTCACTCCCACAATTCTACCCCAGAATTGTGGGAGTGAGTAAATACTATGTCTACTCGACAATCAGACCATACGATTCGAAGGTGCTGCAATTTATAAGCATCATGACTGCATGAGTCATGACGGAAATCTTAATCGCTGAAAGACCTGAATAGACGCCGTTAGCAAAAACGTTATTCCTAACGCACATGTTAGAAAAGTAACAATTTAAAATTCAAGTATGGGTGATTTGATTACCTATTATCGTGTATGATTAATGTTATTTGTTAACTCAATATCAACATATTACTATTATACTTCTAGTTTTTATACACGTGACGGTCAAAATCTTCATGAATTAAAGCTTACAATTTAATAAAAATTTCAATTCGGGAAAAAACCGTTCATGTGTGTATCTTGGGCATGACCAAAGATTTGTATCCTTCAGAATGTTAAATTTCTCACTAAACGTGCAGATGCTAATCTTTGCACTGCGGGTCAGCTATTATTTCACCTGTTCAGCGCATAATTAATTAGTCAAAGCTGTTTATGTCTTAATCTTAAGATACTGTAAGATTATATTGTTATTGTTTATCATTACGTTCGCTAGTATGATCACTATTACAAATTGTAGGATAAAGCAAACATTTCAGAAACATGTTAGATAAAATTATAGATTTATTAACGCAAAAAAGATTTACATTTCCATTTACGAAAATTTACAAATTCAACAAGAATACGATACGAGAACAATATAATAGTAGGTTGTAATAAAGCGAATAACAGATCAGGTAATCACTCTGCTATAATAACTAACAATTTTCGCTTGAACAAGCTCAACGATAAACAAAAAAAATTAACAGAACTGCAAAAACTGTTAGCCACTGTTAGCATATTATTCAAGAGGGAGTTACATTATAGTTATTTGCATTACAAGGCCAAAAGCTAAGTTTCTGCGAATATGAGCGTGTGATAAAAAAATTCATGAAATATAACAGATAAAACTGATACGTTCAAAATGCTCCCAAAAATAATATTCTGAGCATCCAAATTTATAGAAAATTGTAAGCCGGGGACTTTGAAATAACAATAGCCATTTGCTTTTATTATGTGCAGACAAACATGTTTTGAATGAACAAGTTTGATGTGTTTTGTTTTGTATTAGCGGTTTTAACAGAACTTTCAACAGGGTACAGCTGCGATGGGCTACTCAACAATGTTTTCTCTTTTACTGTAGTTCTTGTTTTATCAGAATCTCGATGTATTCCAGCTGATTATATGTTGACCACTTTTATGAATCCATATCTTTATCCTAAAACAGTGTCGTTTTATACATACAGACACGCAATAATTCTTCTTGTTTTTAATGTCATAACGTTGCGAAATTATTATAAGATAATCATTTAAATTGAACATATTTTGAACTTTATTCTTAGTAGAAAATTTAAAATATTTTTGTGGCAGCATGAACATGAATAGCCTCTTTCAGAACGATTCACTGGTTTGTAAGAACAAGCCTGACGTTCACGAAGACTTATGATAGACTTCAAGTTTAATTCCGGTTTCTATCTCTTCCACGTTTGAAACACAACCACTGGCCAAACTCCATTTATCAAAGTCTGATAACTTACAAACCTACGTACTCCACACATTGCAATACATGTCTCTTGTGCGCTTTAAATCGCATAAATTTTAAATGAAAAATGCTGGTCTCTTTATCTACCCACACCGCAATAAATAGACTTCTAAATGCCGGAACGGAAGGTTCAAGTAAATGTGTTTCCTTCCATTTGCACATGCAATAAGGTTACTTCACTTTTAACTATGTACATTTTGTCAGAGTGGCCTTAGAAGCTGACAATACTGTATAGTAATCAGTTCAAATTTTACTATTCTATGACAAAATACAATTACAACAAGGACTGGTAATCTAAATTAAAAATATATTAAAAAATTCGTCGGTGGTTTTCTTATGCTCCATAATTTTTTTTTTCATAAAGTGTTTTCTGTTTGTGAGCTGTTTGCCACAGCATTGTTGGAAAACATTCAAAAAAACAAACACAATTTGTTTTAAATCAACCCGTCGCTCCTATTGTTCTCTTTAGAACAAATTTGTGAATTTTTCGATGAAATGAGAGATCGATTTCATTGGTTTTTAATTAATTTTGCTCCGGTGTTGCAGAATAATAGAAACTTCAAAGACTTATTATTGAAGCACATTCTACCTATAATCTATTTAAGTTGTGCCCTAGAAACGCTTTTGTATCAGTTATGATATTCGTTGAAAATGTTAAGCATAAAAAGTTTCTAACTTTAAAAAACACAAAAACCGACAACCCTTTAAAAGACAGCGCTGAGTTAGACCCATCGCAATTTTATCTGTAGCGGAAGGATTGACGAAAGTCGATATTTAACACTTATAGAAAACTCAAGTGTGATTAATCAGTAACCCCTTAAGCCCTTTCACAATTGTAAATAATTAAATTGATTATTTTCTGAAAATTTAAGACAACGCTGCAGTTCTGCAACTTATTAGAAGTTTCTACTGCGTACAACACTGACTGCTGTGCCTTTTATAAACCGAATAAATATAGGAAAACATCTCAAAGAGCTAAACAAATTCTGAAATGACGTCGTTAAGGTAGGTATCCGAAATTAAGAGGAAATATTAATATTTGCCGAAAACTTCGTCAAAGAAATGATTATGAAACGTTGTTTGAGTATTTTATATTAATGCAAGTTTAGATTAAACGAAAATGGCCGTTTTATTTAAAAGTTCGTATCTCAATATTGAGAGACGATAAATTTCTGTTTAAGTTGAGTAATTAAGAGAAGGAAAATAAGGTGGATTCGATTATACGCAAACAGTAAAATAAGTGAAGAGAGATGCTTAAGAATAAAGGAAACTTTTGTTGACTCGTTTTATGTGCGCTTTTTTCCGGATATCTTTTCCAAATTGCGTTTCTGATCTTAAAAGACTTTTAAATATTCACAAACTACTGAAAGCTTTGTGCTCCAACATCACATTATGCTGTTTCCGTGTAAAATTAATGCAGTTAACGTAATGAAATGGTAGTAGACAATGCGACTTTATAACTATTGTATTTAAAAAAATAAATAATAAACATTTTTGAGATGTCATGATATTGGACAAATTTTGAAAGCTTTCTCAGCTTGTTATTAAAGATTATGTTGTAAACCTACATAGTTCTCTACACGTGAAAGTGAAACTTGCAAACTTTTCGCCAATGTTACTGCACGCGTTTCATAGCAGTTTAGGCTGAACATACATACAACTCCAGGTGGTGTTATACAGGAACGGAATAAAGACATCAGCTGTCAGTACGAGTGTGACAAGGGACGGAAGAACACATTTAAGATGTGAGGTCGCGGCTTTGTGACACGATATCCCCGCCAGCGATAACAAAGTCCGGACCGAACACCTCGATCCAACTTAGTTCTGCGATCACTTTCAGTAATCGCCCTCCCGGTCAGCCCGACCGCCAGACTGATCAAGAGCCGATGCTTGACATATTGTTCACTTAAATTCTTTATCGGACCCATCAATTTCACTTTTTGTCGTGGGTCACACCCCAGGGCTTGATATTTTTTTCTAAAGGGCTGGGCCATTTTTAGTAATCAATTGTTAATTGAAAATCTGTAATGTAACATTGTTAGCTCTCCAATTTTAATGAGCGTTTTCAGTTAAAAGCCAAAAAAATGCGAATTGCCGTAAAAACAGAGCTGGGAGCATTATTGTTTGCCTACGCAGTGAGTTTATTACTCAAGTGTAAACTAGAGACAATTGTAGCAGAGTTATTTCTCCGAATGTCTAAAATCGTGTTCTCTTGACGTTTCACAACTTGTATGTTATGTTTACTTTTTCTGTTTTTTAGTTGTAGTTTAAATTTTGTCGTCTAGAAGGTGAAACGCTAAAAATTTGTTCATTTCCATGAAAAATTTGATGATATTCCCAAATTTTACAAGGTAATAACTTAGTAATTACAAATGTGTTTGTAGATGCTTACTACAAACTATGCTGTGATATTCAGATCGTTTGTTTTTTGATGATCTTTTTATTTTTTTGGAATTACTAAAGAGCTTAATTTTTAGAATATCAAGTAAGCAAGCGATATATGAAATTTTAACATTCTTGAAAATAAGATTGTCAGTTTAGAAGATCAGCAAGTTATGTCAGTTATATCACTTTTCCATTTTGAATTTCCATGGTATAAAGAAAGAGTAACAGATTCGTAGAATCAACGTATTTGCAGAAACCACTAAAAATTACGGACATTTATAATTTGTAACATCAAATCATATATTTAGATAATTTTTTTTCACTACTACTTTCTTACTAAAACTTTTTGAAAATTGCAGAATAAAACTTAGAAAAAACAATTATCCTTTAGATCGTATGAACTGGTTGTGGTTGCTAAGGTGGTATTAGTACATACATTTTAATCTATTAGATAGACAGAGAAGTAAACACAAGCTGAAGTGCCACTCCTCTGCTCGAAAACAGTTCAAACATAGGCATTTTAAAAGTATCTATGTATGAAAAAAAAATATTTTGTTGCGCCACGACTTTTATTTGAGGAACACAATGTGAGAGCGTAAAGTTAAAAATGAAATCACGTTAGTAATTACCGAAAATAGTCTTTCAGGATACTTAACTTTCCTGTTTTATTTAACTTACCTCAAATGACCCCCA